CAGGTGAGATCAGAGCCTCCTTTTGGAAAGAACAGAAGTAGATCAGAAACTAAGGCCACCTTCCCTTTCACTGGTTTACTCTGAGGCAAAAATCAGGCCAACACTACCCAATTTTCAAACTGTAAATATTGGATTTCCCAGGCCACCTCTCTTCCTCTTCATCCCTCCATACTGCCAAGACCCAGTCCCGTTAAAGCTGCATCAGCTCCCTCTTCCCATTCCTGCCTCTTGTACCTTGGTAAACCATGGTCCTCTATTCTAGTACTGGTCCACAGGCCTCCTCACTGAACTTTATCACTAGCACATGGCCCTCCCATTTCTAGTCTTACTACAGGAAAAAACATGCTCACACCAACCGCTTCATTCCTATCACATCTAAGACATCTCACATCCCCAGTATCACACAGAAGACAGAGATCCTTCATTCAAAGAGTTGCTGAATGCTTGCCAGTCATTCAGGCACCACTCTAGGCACTGGGGTACAAAACAGCCAAAGCCAAAGGAGAACATCCCCACCTTCACAGACATCTCTGTGTAGACAGGAAAGACAGGCAATTTGTGAAATGTCAGAAGAGAAGTGCTCTGCAGATGACACTCCAGCAGAGCAAAGTGTCAGGCAGCAGCAGAGTATTCACACTACTGGTCAAGGATGGTGCCTGAAGAGGATTTGGGGCAAAGACCTCAAGAGGAAGAAAAGCAAGTCACAAAAGCATCTGGGGAGCATCAGGCAGAAAGACCAGCATATTGTAGTAGTCTGAGACAGAACAGGACGGGGCTTGGGGCCAGTACGTCTGCCTGGGACAGACAAGAATAGAGTCTGGGCAAAGATGGGGGCAGCCCCAAATGCTATAGCATACAAAGGCCTGCCAAAGAGGCAGGAAAGCAGGGGCAGCCTTCTAGTGTATGTCCCAAGCTGAAACCTGGCTGAAGAGATTAATAGGAAAAGCAAGCCCAGCCCATGTATACACTGTGGGGAGGGGTACGCATATGGGATAAAAACACTAAAACTAATCATGCAAGGCCTGGGAAAAGCATTGCAAAAGGTCAGGCAGGCAAAGGTGGAATAAATGCAGCAGAAGCCAAAAAGCCCAGCAAGAGACAGGTCTTGACCTCAAAGAGCAAAGAGATCCTTGAAAGTGGGACTCACAGGACCACATCTATGTCTTAGGAAGACAAGGAAGGATGTCGGGAACTGACTGAGACAGTAAAAAGGGGTCAGGACCATGCTTCCTGGTGTAAAACACGAAATCCTTACTGAAGTATACAGACCTCCTAACAGCATGACAGACTTTATTTGTATCAACTCTTTCAACTTAAGTCAACTTAAAAAGGTCCCAGCTCTCTCCAGAAAGGAGGGGGAAATCACTTGTTTTTTTTTTTTTTGTTGTTGTTGTTGTTTTTTTAAATATTTATTTATTTATTTTTATTTTTTGGCGGACACAACATCTTTGTATGTGGTGCTGAGGATCGAACCTGGGTTGCACACATGCTAGGCGAACGCGCTACCGCTTGAGCCACATCCCCAGCCCGGAAATCACTTGTTTTTAAAACATATCCACTAGTATAATTTCTATCCTTACATGTTTTGATGAAACCATTGCAGCAATTAAGATACTTTGAAAACTCATCAGTGGTGGCTGGGGTTGTGGCTCAGTGGTAGAGTGTGAGCCTTGCATGTAATCCCAGTGGCCCAGGAGACTGAGGCAGGAAAGCAAGGCTCTAAGCAATCTGCAAGACCGTGTCTCAAAGTAAAAAGGGCTGGGGATGTGGCTCAAGGGTTGAGTGCCCCTGGGTTCAATCTTTGGTACCAAAATAAAATAAATAAATTGGCCTCAAAAGCTATACTGAGGGCTGGGGATGTGGCTCAAGCGGTAGCGCGCTCGCCTGGCATGCGTGCGGCCCGGGTTCGATCCTCAGCATCACATACCAACAAAGATGTTGTGTCCGCTGAGAACTAAAAAATAAATATAAAAACTCTCTCTCTCTCTCTCTCTCTCTCTCTCTCTCTCTCTCTCTCTCTCTCTCTCTCTTTAAAAAAAAAAAAAAAAAAAATTAAAAACTCTCTCTCTCTCTCAATCTCTCTCTCTTTAAAAAAAAAAAAAAAGCTATACTGAAACCAACAGATATAAAGTGCTTGAGTGTCTCTGGGTGGCCAATGAGAAGTCTCCCCCAATTATACGCAATGTAAAAAATATTCCCCAAGAGAAAAACTAACAAGTCAGTTTGTAAGTTCAGAGCCTCCTCCTCCAGGGCTTCCATGTCACCTCTTGATTTTTTACTTTGTATACTTTCTTTTTTACCTTGTCCAGTGCTACAGAGAACACAGCATGAGGTTCAGCAGCAAAGCTTGCTCCAAGTTGGTGCAGGTACTGCTTGCAACATTTCATAGCTAATTTCCATTTACATCTGAGTAAGCCACAAAGAGCAAAGGAAGCCACCCTGCCTGGCAAATGCATCTTGCTCCCCAGTTAAAGCAAAGTGATCTTAGCCCAGCCCTGTCCTCTCCACATTCAGCTTCTTCCTTTTCTGCTCCAACATGAGTTACAAAAGACAGCAAGAAACAGGTCTAATGCTGGTACTGTGTTGTTGTTGTTGTTTTTTACCCTAAGTCATATGCCCATTTAAATACTCAGCTTTTATGGACTGCATGCCATGGGAAGGTATCAGCCAAGGCAGGCTGCCCAAGATGATGACAGTGTCCTATCTCCAAAAGCTCATCCAAAAGGGGAGAAAGGTCACACGTGGCTCTTAATAGGCTGTGTACTGTGCTCAGAAAGGAAGATAAGCAGTGGTCCATGCCCAGCAGGAGCCCACACAAAAGCCTAGAGTCAGGACACCACACATCTGGGGCAAAAGAGGAAAGTGAGGTGAGGACACCAAAATGATTATCCAAAGTTATACACCTTCTATAGACTGACCAGTTCTCAAAAAAAAAAAAAAAAAAAAAACACCAGACCAGAATAAATGGACATACACATCTATCTCCAGGGCTAGGGATGCTCCAGGCCCCCATCTCCTTCACCAGCACCACAGAGAAAGGGAGAAGGGAAGACTTACATCTTCAATTCTCAGTATTTTTAAAGCATTTACTACTTAGGTAATTTTACTGGATTGGAAAGGCCAGGGCAAAATAAGCTTGAATTATGAACTTGAACCCCATCTTAGCACATCAGTCTATATGCACTCTTACTTGGTAAAAAGAACCACACAGCTCACACGGCACACATTTATTACTGTTTTCTGTCCTCTCACCAGCACTTCTTACTAAGTCAGTTTAATTCCACCTACTTTCACATGTTTTACACTGAATCGCCAAAACTGCTTAAAAAAAAAAAAAAAGGGAAGTAACTAATTAGTTCACATTCTGCCATGTAAGTACATCTTTTCAAGTCTGACTACTGCTTAGAAAGAGAGGACATCAAATGATGGAGGGCTGAGCTCACTCCTAACTAACCCACAGGGTCTCCAATTCCTGACTCATTCTGCAATTCTGACTTAAAATTCATCTGGTTCCTCACATTTCAGCTGGCATTGGTTTAAAAGCCCTACATATATTGGTTGCATAAAAATAAATCCAGTGGTCACATTTACCTTATTTTTTGCTGTTAGTTTGCATGTTACATAGAAATACACCAGATATTCATATTCACACACAAGAATTGTCATGATCCTTTGAAATTCACCAAGTTTTATCTGGCGCTGTTAAAATGGAACGTTTACCACTGCAATCAGAGACCAGCCTATTCGGAAGTCAAGAGGGGAGGATTTTCACACTGAACAGACAGATGGGAGCTCTTCACAGAAACTCCCAAGCAAGCATTAGGTCCTCACTCCACCAACCATCATACCAAACTGAAGGCTGTTGGGCAGCGAGAAAATGGAAGGAGAGAAAAGGAAATGACTCAAAGTCACCATCAGGCATAAGTCCTCCGCATCGCCAGTCGGCGGTTTAGATTTGAACTCTCAGGTCCTGGGGAATGGGGGCTCCTGCGCCCACAGGACTGGCTTCTTTCGCCTGAAGGCTGCGTTTTGAGTACCGGTGCCCTCCTCGCGTTACCTATGGAACCAGAACACTTGAAGCCCCCGGGGGGGGGGGGGAGAGCAGGAGGCTCCAGTCCCAGCGCCACACCGGGATGGCTCCTCGCTCTCCGCGCTGACAACCTTCGGAGAAGCTTAGAGCTGCTAACGCGATGCAGCGCGATCCTGGGATTTAACTCCTTTAAAAGCCAAGGCCTCGGAGCGCCGGAGCGGCTGGCCGACTGCGGCACTCGGGCCGCGCTGCGCCCGGGCTGACCACCCCGGCTGACCGCGCCGGCCGCCGCCTCCGGGCCGCGGCGACGCACGTTCCGAGCGGCCAGGGCGTCGCGGCAGACGCACTTTCGGGGCTGTTTCTGGCGGGATGTCAGAAGGCTCGACGCCGTGGCCGGTCCGCGCAGCGCCTCGCCCAGTCCCCAGCAGCCCAACCTGAGTGGCGTTCGCCACGAACCGGATTCTGAACCGCCGGCCGCGCGGGGCCYGGCCCGTCGCCTGCGCCGGCGGGGCTGCCGCTCTCCGGGGCCAGGGCCGGGGCGCGGTCGCCGGCCGAACGGGCGGGTCCGGGCACCGCGCCTCCACCTGCCGGGCCGGCGGCCGCGGCCCGGGCGCGCCGCGCTGACCAACGGCCGCCGCCGGACCTCCCGCGCACAAAGCGCCCGGCGCGACCCCGCCGCCGCGCCCCTCCCACCGCGGTCGCCGGGCCGGCGCCCCGCGCCGCACAAAGGCCGGCGGGCCCGCAGCGCCGCGGAACAAAGGCGGCCGCCGGCCGGCACAGGTGCACGGCCGCCGGGCCCAACATGGCCGCGCGCCCGCCGCCCCGTTAGCCGCCGCGCCCGCGGCCTGCGCCCGCCCGGGCCTCGGCCTGTGCCCGGGCSGGCCCCGGCCGCCCGCCCGCCGCCCAGGCCTCCGGCCTCGCTCCCCGCCCGCCGCCCGGCCCGCCTGGCGGTTGGCGGCCGCCCAGTGACCTGGCTGCGTCGCATCCTCGGCGGCGTCCGGCGGCGCGGTCCGGCGGGCAAGGGCCGCTGAGGGCAGCGGCGGCCGAGGGGGCGGCGGCGGGCGCAGCGCGGCCAGGCCGAGGCTCTCGCGCGCGGCGCCGACCCCGCCCCCGCGCCTCCCGCCCGCCGCCGCCGCCGCCGGGCCGCCGCCGCCCCCAGAAGCCGCGGGAAAAGTGCGCGCCGCTGATTGGCTGCCGCCTCGCGGCGCCCGCGGACCGGGCTTTTCAAATCCGCGCCGGGGCCGCGCGCGGCGGGAGGCGGCGGGCGGGGCGCGCGGTGGGGCCGACGACGGGCCGCGAGCGGGTGGGGCGCCGGGCGCGCGCCCGCCCCAGCCCCGCTCCCGCTGCCGCTCCTGCTCCTCCGGCGCACGGGCGGCGCCTGTTCCGCGGCCACGGCGAGTCCAGCGCGCTGACGTCACGCCGCCCCTCGCGCGCGCGGCCACGGCGCCCTGCGTGGGCGCGGACGGTGGGCGCGCGGCGCCAGCCCGCGGGCGTGGGGAGAACGTCCGGGCGTGCGGGGACTTGGCCCAGCGGTCTCCGAGCGAGTCACGGACCTGGGCAGAGTCCTGGTAGTCCGTCCTGCGCGGGGGCCCCTTGAGCGACAACATGGAGCGGGTCACGGGGCGACCCTGAGCGTCCGCGGGGTGCGGGCGGGTTTCAGGCCAGGAGCCGAGGAAGGGTGCTGGCGAGGGCTCCCGCGCTTCTGGGTGTGGCGAGCAAGGAGAGTGGAGAGACGACGAAGCCAGAAGCTCGGGCAGCGACAGGAGCGTCCAGTGGGCATTGGATGCAACCCCAGCGGTGTGGAGCGACTCCGACTTGCGTGCTTTCATGGGCGAGAGCCGGGCGAAGTTAAAAAAGTTACAGACACTGGAAGGGCGGCAGGCCCAAGAGAGACCCGTGGCTCTTTGGAAGTTAGGTCCCTACACTCCTGCAAAAAGATGGGGCCCTATCTCCAGGAGCTGCTGGAGCAAGTCCTGCGCTCTTGCAAGGCTCCAGAGGGTCGCCCTCGCCTCCAGAGGAACTAGGGCGCATCTTCTGGCACTGAAGAGCAAAGGAACCGAGAAAGTCCCCCTTACCAGGTCCTGCTGCCTGTCCGAGGGAGCCTGTGGCAGCTAGCCTTCAGCCTGAGTTCTCTTCCTGGCAGGCCCACTAGTGCCCAGGTCCTGACTCCTGGTGCTGCTGTGGGTAGCTGTAGGGTCTGAGAACAGACGTGGGCTCTTTGGTCTGCCATTTGCAGGGCCTGTGGACAAGGTTGTGCAGCCCCAACCCATACACACAAGTCCAAAGTGCAGGCTGCAGTACTCAACTCCCATGAAGCCTTAGACATGAGCCACCGCATCACACAGATACAAACGGGCACTCAGCCATGCCCTGGTGTTGAGATAAGGTGTTGTGGCACAGGACTCACCTGCAGGCTGACCCCCTTGCTCCAGCTCTGGTCCTGTTTCCACAGCCTCCAGGTCTTCACAGAACATAGGGGATACTCATAGTCAATTGCACCTGGTCTGAATCCGGTGAGAAGAAGGCTCCCAAGTTCAGGCATCCTCAATAAAAAGCATGAAGGATGGGCAAGAGGTTAAAGCCCTAGGTCCAGGAAGGACCGCTCTGGCAAGACAGCAAGGTCTGCAGGTACAGACTCCCCACTGTGCTCAGCCACAAGCATCATGCTTCCCACAGCAGCAGTGACGGATCCAGGGCTTCCAAATAGATTACCTTTCATCCAAACACCACATGTGAGGCCTACTGGGTCCTGTGCAAGGAAGGTGTAGAGTCCCGCAGGGCCCAGAAGAGATGCCCTGCCCCATGATGTTCACTGCCAGACCACCAGGAACCCTTGGGAAGCACCCAGTTAGGCAGTGGCCAAACCCCTCTGGCTGTGGGGAGGAGAATGGTGACTTCTCTAGCCCTGGATCCACCTGTCTCACTGGGACACAAGCCCCAAAACTGCCCACCTCTCCAGCATCTCTTACATTCCTATAGCACATGCCACCAGAGCTCTTTGGATTTAAAAAAAAAAAAAAAAAAGTCTGCATTTATTATATTGCAATCAATATGCAAATTTATTCAAAACATGCAAGTATATGTTTTGAATTTCTTAAAGAAAGTTATTTGGGGTAGACTGGTCTTTTCCCGCCAAACATTAGCCTCCCTGAGCCCCCTTCCGTGAATCTGACAGGCCGAATCCACCCACCTCTGGTCTGGGTATTGTAGCACTGGAGGGCAGGAAGAAAAATGCCTACACAGGACTCCATGGGTGAGGTCCTAGGAAAAGGAGGCCCTCATCTGCAGGGCTTGCAGAGCCCACACTCTAGGCTCTTAGGTGGGTCCCTCCATTTTGGGACAATCATTCTGTCCCACAGGTCACCTATTTGGGCACTCCTGTAGGCTGGAAGTTCTGAGAGTGTAGGCAGCAGGCTGGGCACCAGGACCGGGGAGCCCTGCAGGCTGACTGGAAAACTGTTCTTGGAGGGCAAGGCCCAGGCAGGCTACCAGGGCTCTTTTTTTTTTTTTTAATTTTTTGATATTTATTTTTTAGTTTTCGGCAGACAACATCTTTGTTTGTATGTGGTGCTGAGGATCGAACCCGGGCCACACGCATGCCAGGCAAGCGCGATACCACTTGAGCCACATCCCCAGCCCCTGCCAGGGCTCTTAATGAGAAGCTAAAGTCCTGGGCAGGCCCTACGTGGGGCAAGGCACTCAGGGACAGCAGCAGCTGGGCTGACCCTGGTTTTGGTCTTTTTTTTTTTTTTTTTTTTTTTTTTTTTTTTTTTTTTTT